TTTTTTTTTTTTTTTTTTTTTAATTGAAGTTAGAAAAAAATGAACGGTTCAGAGAAAGTTCGGTCGCGATTGATTTTATTGCTATTCGAAACAAACGGCGATTCGCGGCACGGGGATATTCAAGTATTTTTCACGTCGAAACCAAAAATGCGAAACGATGCTAGATTAAAAAAGAAATAAAGGAAAAAAGAGGAATTGAATAACGTCACTATTGATATTAAATATTTTTAATATTTGCCGGTCTTCTGTTGCTTCAAATTCAAACCTGTTCGCGGTCACTTTTTGATATCAAATTTTGCGACAGGGAACAAAATTAAAAAATGATTTACAAATGAAAAAAAAAATGGAATGAAATATAAGTAATAAATGTATGTGTATAATAAAATAAGATTTCTTACATGATAGCTATTTTATTTAAATTTTACATGCTTAGTCAACGTTACGAAATATCTCGTTCTTCGAGAATCTATTCTACGTAGAAAAGTGACTGATTTACTTTAGAATGAAGATTTTGTAACACTTGTATGAAATCACGTACGGAATACTCGAGATAACGATTGCAGCACCTGTATACGAACGTCAGTCAATAATATTTTTAGCTGAGAAAAGAATTTCTTGCTCTTAACCTCTTCACTTCCCTGATTTAATCGGAGGCGCCATCTTTCTCTTGTTGAAATTAAAGTTAGTAGAAATTCCCATTCCCCTGAAAATTACTTTGAAAAATAATGAACTTGATTATTGATTATCGTATAATTTCAATATTTCAACATTATCTTAATATCTTATGTTATTTATATTTCTCAGTATTTTCTTGACACATGGTATGTACATTAGGTTAGGTTTAGACACATGGTGTGTACATTAGGTTAGGTTTAGAAATTAATTTGGTACTTCCTTTAGATAAACTTTTATTTACTAGAATTAAAATTGTAGAGATTTCCATTCTGGAAATTATTTTGAAAAATAATAAACACGAAGTTATTGTATAATTTTAATATTTTTTAATTTTAATATCTTGTATTATTTATATTTCTCAATATTTTCTTGACACATGGTATATACATTAGGTTAGGTTTAGAAATTAATTTGGTACTTTCTTTAGATAAACTTTTATTTATTATAATTAAAATTGTAAAGATTTCCATTCTGGAAATTATTTTGAAAAATAATAAACACAAAGTTATTGTATAATTTTATATTTTTAATATTTTGTATTATTTATATTTCTCAATATTTTCTTG